ATAAAACATCCTCAACAAAAATAGCAGTAGCAAAAAGACCAATAAAACAACGGAAATTCCTGGAACAGACCACTCTGTTTGGGAGTAGTAAAGCATATTTTCCCCCCAAATACACACATACACATACCATCCATCCATCCCTCCACCCCTCCATCCCACCATCCCTCCATCCATCCATCATCTCTCCTTCCCTCCCTCCATCCATCCATTGTCCTTCTATCATCCACCACCCATCCCTCCATCCCCATCCTTCCATCTCTCCCTCCATCCCTCCAACTATCCACCCATCTCTTTATCTATCTGTCTCTCCGTCTCTCTCTCCACTCTTGTCCATTCATCCATCCATCCATCCATCCATTCACCCTCCCTCCACCGACCTCATGAGCCCCAATACAGTGACCATCCTAAGGATGGATTTAGAAGGGCTTCATGTTCCTTTGCTATTTCATCAGTCCATGGTGAGGAGATCACCCCGACTCTGTAAGCTGTGGGCATCTCATTTGTAGGAAAGCATAAGCAAGCCGAGGGCACCCACCTTGTGAACTTTAAATAGCACCTCACAGAGGTTATAGACGTTCTCTGCCCGCAACCAGTCCGCTGTGCTCACCTGCAAGAAACACACAATGGGTGCATGAAAAGCCCTGAGGTGGAGGTGAACATTCACAATGTGATAGATTCAGTGCATCTCCAACTGCAGTGAACCCTCAGCCACCTCCAGTCCCCAGGCAAGCTCAGCTGAAGAGTCTGGTGGACTCCTACACGGGAGGGTGTGACCCAGCCTGCTGGGCTGTGGTGTGGCCACACTGGATGCATTATGGAGACAACTACTGGCCAGGTAGTGACTTACCTAGGACACACCATTGGGTGTCATTTTGGGAATTTATTTTAAATTCTTTTTACATTAATTGAAGGTCCAATATTAAATTAAACATAGAGAATTTAAGATGAGTTTGCAAGTGAAAGTAGATGAGTCTCTAAATTTACCAGGGTGTGATAGTACTGTGTTTACAGCCCTTTGCTCACTAGCACTTCTTACTGCTCGATTCTGTTTCGGAAGGGAATACAAATTTCACTAATTAATTGATGTCACTGAACCTGATTTTGATTGGGCTGACCTACTGCAGCTCACAGCTATCTTAGCAATAATGATAAAATAATTCAAGTTTTGAGTGATGCTTTATCAGTTACAATGAGTATTCATAAATATTATCTCTAAATTAAAATAATTACAATAGAAAAATCTAAAATATTCCACAGTGTAGCAAATGTGAATTTTTTTGCTGGGGCCTCTGTCCTTAGTCTTCCAAGGAGCAAAAATAATCATAAGTTCCCTGTATTGTGACTTGGAGGCACCAGAACCACTACGTAGTTAATCAGTTGGTGAATTCCTAATGATTATTTACTCAAAGAAGATGCTGGAGACTTGGCTGGCCTTTCAGCGTCATCACAGTCAGAATGGCCCTGCTGTAGGTGTCAGAAAGCTACACCAATGTGCTGCATTCAACATGTAATTGCTCTAGAGTCAACTCATTGCCACTGTGATTTAAACAATAAAACACAAGGGAAAAGCACAGCTTAAAGCAAAAACAGCAGTTAGGGTACTAACAGGCAGACCCTCCCCAAGGCCAAAGGGCTCAGGAACCTTCAATAACCCACCAGCTGAGCTCAAAGTCAGGGTCACAGATCCCCCCAAACCACACCTCTCCTGTCTCCAACTCCTGAGAGTCCCAGGGGCTGCATCTTACGGCCCCTCCTAATGGAAGAGCTCAGGAGCTACTCATGTTATTGGAAAATAAATACACTGTGTGCACCATTTTAACGTCCCCATTATAGCAATGTCACTTGTCTAAAAACTACAAAGAATCTAAATCTAAAGAATCTAAAAAATACCAATGGCTAAACACATCACCCAGAGACATCCTTCCCGAAGAGCTGACTTGTTGCTGCAGACATTATACATATTCATAACTTTATGTCTTTTCAAAATGTAGTGGTATCAGCATTTTCCCATGCTGTCGTTTCTTTCAGAAATAAAATTCTCGCAACTGCTTAGAATTTCAGTGTGTGGATTTATCATTTTCACCAGCATCACCTTTGGGATGGACATTTTAGATGGCTCTGAGGTATTAGCCACTGTAACAGAGCCATGACTGATATGTTCAGAGGACCTTATATCCCAATATTCTATTCCATTGAATGCCTTCTTCCTCACTAGTTTGTTATACATGTGTGACCTCTCGAGTCATATTCTAAGTTAAAGATGGCAGGAGGCTGTGCTTTTTCTAGTTTGCAAGATTCAACCTGTCTCCTCCCACATTCTGCTGGGTCCACAGAACATTTATCAAGCTCCTGCTTTCTGGGCATCTATAGTGGCCAAACACTGGCTTCTGTGTTCACCACTGGTGTTACCATTCCTGCCCAGGTCGCCTCCCTCTCCTGCGGGATGACTTGACCCTTCTCTACCCCAGCTCCAGAGCTGGACTCTTCTCCAGCCCAGGGTTGCACATAAATCAGATCGCACATCTCATGGTCACATCTGCGGTGATGGACTCTGTGTCCTAGGAGAGATGCAGGTGAAATGGCTTCGAAGATGCTCAGAGTTCTGTGGATCCAGAGCAAACACTGCGCCTGGGCCCTGCGGGAAGCTACCTGGGGCTATAAGGACTTTAGTTACTGTTGTTCCTGATGCTGTATTAGTGCTGCTTCCTCGCTGCAACAAAGTATCACCCAGATGAAGATAACTGAGTGTGGTAGCACAGGCCTGTAATTCCAGCACTGGGGAGGCATAGGCAGTAGGGTCTCCTGAGTTCCAGACAAGCTTGAGTCTTTTCCTGACAGCCCAGGAGGGCAAGTGCCCCCACCCCAGGTGCCAGGCCAACACTACAGGTTGGCCCAGCCCATGGTGCAGCCACAGAACTGAAAGTCTAGCGAGGCTCTTCCTCAGCAGGGCCCTCCTGCTGTGTGAGCCTCAGTCTGAAATGGCCATGGTCACCTACTTAGCTCAGCCTAATGCAGACTGCTACACCCCAGCTCATGATCCCAACTTTAATTTCTGAGGAAACTGACTATTGCTGTATTAAGGACTCAGAATCCCCTAGAACATGGAGAGAGGTTGGGTCTCAGGTGACCCCAGAACTACTGTCTGAAGATCTGCTTTGGAACAGTGCCCCCTGGACAGTAGGCTGTGCACAAGCGGAACTGTGAGAAAATAATCTGACAACACAAAGGGCCTCAGGTCTTTGAAAAAAACAGGGAGAAAGACAAGGAGAGAGGAAGCGCAGACAGGAATAAGAAAATCATATTTGCAAAGCAGATGCATATTTAATCGCTATTCCTCTTAGGAGAGAGCTCCTTAGTTCGCCAATTACATCCATCCAATGGCTGTGTGTGATATGCACATTATAAGGACCTAAGGGAGGGATTGATTTCTGAAAATCTACAAGTATTCCAAAACAGCTCATTTAAAATTTTGCCCTTATCAATGAAACGAAAACTTGCAATATATTATTGTCCTATGGAGGTCACACTCACTGGTGTGACTCATTTGCTTCCATGGCTAGAATTCGTATCGAGGCTTATGGGATTTGCTTCCCAAGCTACCAAGTTTTGTTGTTTGATCACTGCCCTTGTGGCCAGACTCACAAAACAGGCAGTTCCTTTACATGATAAGCTGCCAGGCAGTTATCCATAATACATGTGGTCAGTTTTTGGAGAATGGGGTGATTGAGAATTGGAAAATAAAATTACAGGCAATAGCTTTCAGCCTTGTATATACATTATGGATTCCACTAAAGCAGGCTTCTTTATTTTAATGAAACTTGGAAGTCAGAAAGAAAAAGATATTTTCAAACTTCCATTATTTGGTTACTCAGTTAGCAATGTCTAAAAAGAAGGGTTCTGTTCTGTTCCGTTCTGTTTATTTTTGGATTCTTCAACCACACGACTGATGTGCTGAGGCGCGGGGCTTTGTGAAGCCCACCTACAAGCCAGCTGATCATCTCAGTCAGGGAAACTCTGCAACATCTAACAGATGCTGGAACTGGAAGAGAGGAACGGATTCCTGCACGAGTTTGGAGAGGAAACAGGTGGTTACTTCATAAATAGAACCTTTCCAGCCACGTAGGAGTGGAGATACACAGGAGGAACAGCCCCCAGCTAACTGCTGCATCTCCCAGCAGTAAGGTCAGCATCAGCCCTGTCCCGGATGTGCGAGTCCTTACCGGAGGAGAGCTGAAGATGTAGACGGACGAGCCTTTCAGTGCCAGAAACTTGGATCCCAGGGCCTGGGAGGAGTCAGCTCCCTGCAGCCTCTCGTTTACCCACCCCATGTGCACCACCTGCAGAGAGAAACCTTGGAAGATTAAAAATTGGGCCTTAATGAGAGGTACAAGGGGCACACATCACACACAGTAAACAAGCAGGTCTCTACCACTCCGGCACGCTGGGAACTAGAAAGTGGGAAAGCCAGATCCACGTCCAAGTTCCCAAATCATGGAGACCCAACAGAAAAGCACAAAGTAAAAGGATATTTAATTCTGGTTAAATATCCAGTGTTCTCTACTGGGCCAGGCTCTAGATAGGGCTATAGATGGGCTCAGCTGTGGGTTACATGTACTTTCTAAAAACACACTACTGGGTTAGATTGTACTCGGGGTTAGCATTTCAGAGTCTGCTATGGGAATGTAAAACCAGCTAATTATATTTTTGAGATCTATAGGAAACACACAAGTTCGCATAGTGTACAAAAATGACTGAGTTTTCTTTTACAGTTTAACTTCCTAACAACTGTGAAAATAATACAGAAATATTAGATTCTTACACCTGGCATTGAATAGTTTTAATCGCACAATATGAAATATAAAAGTTCTAAAAATCAGAGTCTGATACAAACACGTCAGGAACGCAACAGGAGAATTCAGTGCCTAAAATGAGACACATACTTTTTTTAGTAAGTTGTATGAGGAGTTTAATTTTAATTTTCTCATTTCCTCATTTTGATATTTGAAAAGGCAATTCCTTAACACAGCCTTATGCATGGAACATTTAAAACAACACAGTTTTCCCAACTTATTAAATGACGCTGTCCTCATGCAACATATCAAATGGGACCCGGATGTGGGACCCGGATGTGGGACCCGGATGTCCTGAGGGTCTGTGGTCCTCATGTCCGAGCACAGAGTGCTGGGCAACAGGGGGAGTTCATGAACAATATTACAGCCCCAGGTACATCCCCATGCCCGCCTCCAGGCCTGATTCACCCTGAGTGTTTCTTCTCATGCCTGAGGTAGGCCTGGCAGGTGAAAATTAAAAAGTCAGATTTCGAAAAACAGTATTTCCAATGATGCCAGAGGGAGAACTGAGGACAGTGCTCTGAAGGGAATTGACAGACACAGCCCAGCAGTCAACATTGCCATAGCTTTGCATGTTGGACACAGATAACTAAATGTAATGTTTTAATTTTGCTAATCAGCCCATCCTAGAGCTTTATAAATAACCCAGGTGTTTCACTGGCTCTTGAACGTGTACATTTCCTATGGGGTTTACCTCATGTCCAAGGAAGACTGCAGGGTGAAGTCAATATGAAACAGTGGCAGTGTTATAAGAACACAGCAATTACTGTGGGGACCATAGCTCGGTGCTAGAGCATTAGGTTAGCCCAGGCAAGACCTTGGGTTCATTCCCCAGAACTGAGCAAAACAAAGTACAGTTTTATTTCATATGTGACCCTGGACACAGCCTCACGTGTCCTTTTTTGTCCCCCATGGGAACAGAATGACCTATTTCACTAGACAATTGTGAGAACTCGATATTGTTCCAGTGTCACCAGGAAGGGAACAAGGAATCGACTGTTCAGACAGCATCAATACTTTGCAAAAACCACAAACTACCACTTGCTCCTGCACGTCTTCTCGATTTGAAGCCAAATTCACAGATAATTTACAGATATCACATTGACGTTTCCCTTCTTGTTGGTTGGGTCAATCCAGGTGGGCTGCAGAGATATATTTTTGTTAGTCAGTGGTCACACCAGCAGCAACACTGCTGTGAATCAGAAGACATGCTCAACTTCCATTGATAAAAAAACTGCATGTTTCTAGATAATTTCATGGATGCTTGATGTTTCCAAAATTAACACAAATTCAGTATGTGATGACTTAGTCCCAACTCACCACTGCAAGGTGGTAATGATCAGCATGGTTTATTTGATAGGATTGCTTTTTAGCACTGTCAGCTGAGACATCGAGCAGCTAGGCCAGTGCAACTAAAGACCCTCAGGAAAGAGGACTTCAGAGCTGCTGCAGAAAGTGGCAAGGACAATGGGATGAGTGTGTTTGAAGTGAGGGGGATGATTTTGAGGGGGAGTGCATGACAATGTGTCCTTAAATATACTTTCTTAAAAGTTTAAGCATTCACCATATTTTCTGATCACATCACATATTCCTTTTGTATTATCTTTCTGTTTTCTTTTGTTTGGATTTGGCATTGTTGGTAGTTGTCAAATGCTTTTTACCTTTTTTCCATTTTTGTTCAAAGGATTGTTTCTTTACTACATGCTAAAATCAATTTGTTGTTCAGAGTGAGAAAGAAAGCCTTTCCGAAGGGCCCTATATGATGCTGTCTGAACAGTGGATTCCTTGTCCCCTTCCTGGTGACACTGGAACAATATCGAATTCTCACAATTGTCTAGTGAAATAGGTCATTCTGTTCCCATGGAGGACAAAAAAGGGCCCTGTATCATAGGGTCCTAAAACATACACAAAGTGCACACATTTTGGAGAAAATGTGACATCACCCTCTCAGGATAGCCTGTCCAGATGTGGCCGGGCTGGTTCCTTATCCACCCTTAGCCGTGAAGCTAAGTCTGCCACTTAATTCCTGACATACTGACTCAAACTCTTGAGAAATTCCAAGTGGCCTAGCAGTTTTAAGTAGAAGAAAAACTCAGCTTGCCTGGTATTCCTTTTTTATTGTACAGCTAAAGAAACTAAAGCTCAGAAGTTAATTTGCTCAAATTATACCTCCAGAGAGGAGTTTGATTGTGATTAAATGTGGGGTTTACATGAGTAAGGCAGCCAGGACTGTTGTCTCATAAACAGTGTTCGATGTATTGTAGAATTTCTCCAAGGTGAAGTGAAGGAGGCCTGCCAGCAATTATTCACTTAGCATCTGGTTCCTGGCAGCTGTGCTTCTCAGATGGTCTTCAGCCTGCCTGAGCTGTTATTTTATTCTTCTTCCCTGCATTTGATTTAGTGATAACGGGAAGGTGAACCCCAAAGTGCAGCAAGACAGGCTTGATCACAGACTGTGGAGACCCAGAAGTGTTCAACCTGGATCATAGTCAAGCCCCACCAACACTGAGGCTTCCAACAGAATGGACTTCCTGTTCGCAGGGCCTTCTCTGTCACCCGCTGTCAATTACCATGAATGGTCAGCTCCTGTGGTCACTGCAGTCCCTGGCTGGTAGCAGAGGACAATCCCTATCAAACACTGCCAAGGGACTGGAACCGTGGAGACACCTTGAGCCTGGCCCTCTCATGGGGGCCAGCTTGCCAAACACGGGGTTCTCATGTGATGTTCTGCTCATTTTCATAATGCGGACAGGAATCCAGCTTCAAACAGAAAATGACTGACGGAGACTACAGCATAGAGTTGGCCTGCTGTCCCACCAGCTAGAAGTAAACCAAGAGGCAAACTCCAATGTGTGAACTGCAGAGAGGGGTGCACATAGCAGAAAAGATTATGGAGACTTTTATTGCAAAACCACAAGGGACAGCAGGAAAATATTATTTTGCATGAATTTGAAGACATTTATGGAATTATTACATAGTTAACCCCTCACTCGGCTACATAAAACACAGACAGTTGCTAAACTTAGAAGGACATTGAAAGAAATGTTATATTTAGAAGAACTTTCAGGGGCTGGGGATTTAGCTCAGCGGCAAAAGCGCCTGCCTGGCAAGCGCAAGGTCGTGAGTTTGGTTCCTGGTACCGGAGAAAAACCAAAAAAAAAAAAAAAAAGAACTTTCCTTAGTGTCCCATTCTAACTTAAAATGCTAACTAGAAGTATTTAACTAAAATACAGGACTGAATTCCTGTCATTCTCAGTAAACGTGACTGGCAAAGACTTGTTCTCTCAAATGTCCTCTGTCTTGAACCCAGATATTATTTCTGAGCACTGTTCAAAGAGTATTTGTATCTCCATTTAAAGAAAACTGAACACATTGTTCCCAGTTTTCTTGACTGGACACTGTAATGACAGTTTCCTAACCTACACAGGATAAAACTGGAAAATCGATGAACTATAACTAAAAAATAGCAGGCCTTTCCATTACAGCTGAAACTATGGCTTTATTAAACAAGAAACACAGTAAGACAGTGGCTTAAAATTTTATTTGCCCAACACTCGAACAACCTGATTATAACAGAGTAGTGCTAAATCCTAATAGAGTTGGTCAATAAGCAGTCTTCAAATTAGAAAATCAGGTGCAGTAATGTGGCAATGATGTGATAGAATTGGTTGCCATCCCTACTAATCTAGACTCAGGAGAAACAGAGGACCCAAGTGGACAACCTTCTTGAGTTTGGGGGTGGCCGGATACTTCCCACCTGCCTCAACACCTGCTTGGTCTAAGGCCTCCTAAGAGTGAGGCATCCTCTTAAGTAAAGGTGCCATGTGAGAAAATGTTCCATGTGAGTTTGATCCCCAGTACCGCAAAAAACAACAACAACAAAAAATTAAGGGTGGTCCTCTCACGATAGAGGAAACATATACAGGCACAAGTCCATCAGATATCCCTCAGCCCATACAGTCCTGATTCCTTATAAAATATAACTGCCAACCAGTAAAGCATTTATCCACAGTAAGCAAACACCATCAGAATTCTTCTTCTATGTTATTTCCATACAGATGGATAGTTTCAAAGGTAACACTGGGGCAGGGACCACCAAATTCAGCCTGAGAGGTGACAATGTTCTTCTACCAAAACTTCCAGTTCAAATTTCAGAAAAAGGAAGAAGAGGCTGCTTGCACAGACTTGTTATAATATCCAGCTGAAAAGCCAAGTCCTACCTGGTTGCCAGGAGAGCAGCATTTATTTGCCATCTTCATCTGCAGAGAAAAGGCAGCAAGGAATGAGCACCACAAGGATGTTAAAGCCAGGAGCTTCCTATCTGCCTAACCTTAGGCAGCTGAAATGTAAGCCTCCCACAGCCTGAACTTAGAGACCCTTTTCTATTGTGATGTGTCTCTTGGGCTGCAAACCAAACGGAGCTAACTACAAATATTAAGGGCTGGGGATATAGCTCGGTGGTGTAAGCACCTGCCTGGCAAGTGCAAGGTCGTGAGTTCAAGGTCGTGTGTTTGATCCCCAGTACCACAAAAAACAACAACAAAAAAAAAAAAAAATTAAGGGTGGTCCTCTCACGATAGAGGAAATAATCTTAGCACAGCCCTGTTATTCTTTCTCAGACATCAGCCTTCTATGTCAGTGTTGCTACAGGACAAGAAGTGCTCAAATTTTAACACCTAAAGTGGGCAAGACAGTTTCTGCTCTACATAATATTAGGCTCTACATAATATTAGGCAGTTACAATGATCACAGTTCACATTAGTTCGCCCCCAAAACTCTGACAGGTCAATGTTATTCTGAGAAAAAAAAAATTTTAATTTTTAAAAATTTTTTTGGTTTTCTGAGATAGGGTCTTGCAATGTATTCCAGGCTGGCCTTGAACTCCCGATGCAGCCCTAGCTGGCTTCAAACTCGCTGTGATCATCCTGTCTCCACCCCCCTTGAGTGCTGAGATTATATGCCTGGACCACCACACGGGGGTTATTTCACAACATTTTACCAATGAGGAAATGGAAGTCCAAATATCACGCCCGTATTTCTGCTCTCCTAATCTGCTCTGCTGCCTGGGAGCAATCCATGAAAATCTCCCGAACAGAAGGATCTTTGTCTTCAGAAGCATTTCTGCAAATATGAACCTCTTCCACCCACCCATCTTTGGAATTCAAAGTGTCTGAATTTGCAGACTAAGACCTTAAGAAGATGCCTTCTTGAATAGCGGTAGAAAGGATGGCACTAAGGCTTTGGAATGGAAATCTCACACACTGCTGCTTCCCCCAAGATTTCTAAAGTGTTTAGCTCATCTCTGTTCAGCAGCAGGCTGAGTTGGGGCCATGGGGAAGGACCAGGCAGTGGGGCTACAGTCTGACACTGCCTCTGTCCCAAGCTGCTGGGATTCTTGAGCTACCAGACTGCTGGGAGCGAGTCGGGGGACAGGCCAGCAGGGGAGGAGTGCAAAGCCAGGGCCAAAGCAAGGGTGGAGGTGAGAACAAGGGCTCCAGCAGAGACTGCGGGGCCCAGGACCAGCCTGCTGCACCCCAGGGAACTGAACCCTGGATGTGTGCTCCTCTCACACCCTAGCTCTTGTTAGTCCTTTCTTTTAAAAAAAAAAAGAAAGAAAGAAAATAATAGTATTGATTTTGGACACCAACTTATTACTCAAGAGCACAAAACGTTTTTAATTTTTCCTGTCCAAGATGCCTGCAGTAAAAATTTAAGATGCTATATTTTTAGTGAGCTATGCCTTTTTATAAATTTTAATAATATTTTCAATCTCAATTAGGTTTCCCCAAATAAAAATTTCACATTGTACCAATATATTTGGATAAAAAATATACATATATAATTACCCTCATACAAATATTGCTGTGTCTGTACACATGTGTTGAGAGAGAGAGAGAGAGAAAGACAGAGAAAGGAGGGAGATCTGGGAGGCACCCAGGGTCAGCCTGCACTGCTGTATTTGGAGACACTTGGACTTCGACTTTAACTTTTGTGGTCAGAGATGAGATCTGTTGAACTCCTGTGCTTGCTTCTCTTTGCAGCCCTCACTGGGATCAATTGCCATGAACAAACTATCCTGACTATCCACACAGAGGCACACCGCGAGGTGGGGGGCGCGTGCTCACACTCTGCAGCATGAGGTGGCTGATGTTGGCGGAGATCGCATGGAGCCAGTCGCCGCAGTCCTGGGCTGTGGAGAACTGGAGGACTCCGGAGCGCGCCCCATCCAGCGCCAGCACCTCGAAAGCATGGGACCTATAAGAAGAGTGGGGAAAGGCTGCTTCAGGGACCACAGGCAGCAAGGGTTTTGTTGTGGCAGGGAAAGCCTCCCCCATCCCGGCCAGGTCCTGATCTACCATTCCCTGGGGAAACACCGCCACCAACTGCAGTCGCTAACAAAGAGGTTGGGCTTGCTGAAATGCAGGTGGAAACCTGGGATTTCTTTGCTAATAAACGCTGTTCTAATTGAATAGACACCAGAAAAGCAGTTCCTACAGGAAACAGCCTGGCTCTTACTAAAATTCTGGAGTTGCTCTTTTATGGGGTGCTGCATCGTGATTCTTTTGAAGGCCCCTTGCCATGGGCTATCGCCAGCTTTTGCTGCTGAGGATGATGTGGCGCCTCACCTTGGCACTGACGGACCTGGGGCTCCCCATCACCTCTCCTGAAGATCTCCCTGGTCCTGCCATCCATAGCTGGGAGCAGCAGCAACTGATTTAGTCTCCAGCTCAGGAGCTAGTCTTCCTTCCCTTGCAGTCTTTTTAAAGATGTCAAAAGAGCTCAAGACACCATATTACAGGGACACGTGCACGCCCATGTTTGTAGCAGCACAGTCCCTAATAGCTAAATCCTGGAAGCAGCCTGTATGCCCATCAGCAGACAGATGGATAATGAAAACGTGGGATCTACACACAAAGGAATACTACTTGTCTATAAAGGATAAATTTGAGGCATTTGTAGGAAAATGGATGCACCTGGAAAATATAATGTTAAGTGAAATAAATGGGACACATGAGCTTAAATACCATGCAGTTCCGCTCATTTGAAGGAGGCTAAGTACAAATAAAGAGCAAAATAAATGATTGAAAAAAACCAAGACATAGATCTTTTGCAAACTAGAAGTGGTCCAGGAGACCAAGGTCAAGGGGACGTGCAAGGGGCAGGGAAAGTAAAAAGATTTAAGATGTGTCGTGTACACACACCAAACACCCACAGTGAATGTAAACATTATATGTCCAAACCACGAGCTAAAACAACTAATAATAACAATAAGAATGAAAACAGGGGGAGGTGACTTAGAAATGGAGGGAAGGGGGTTGAAAAGGAATCAAGCGGTGCTATCCACACACATCTGCTCCCCACGATGATGTAACCTTCGTGTCTGGACGTCAGCAGAGGTTAGCTGCTGTTTACGGTCAAGGAGCAAAGGCAAAGGGGCTCTGCCAAGAGCACTGGCACCAAACCCTCCCCAAATCTGCAGAGGACACCTGCAAACGCAGGCGGAGCCAGAGCCGCTAACTTCTATTCGCCTAGATAGCTCAGCACAAAAACTGAACTACAAGACGGGCAAATATTCAGAGACTCCAACCTCGGCCTGTGGGGAGAAGGCCTACGACAGTCACCAGACGTCAGATTGAACAGGAAGATGTCCATGTGCCCATTCCGACTGTCACATGGGCCTGCTGAGATTGTGTGGAAACAGAGGATGCAGGGCCTTCGGGGACACTGAGGAGACTGTGTATGCCAGGACTTGTGCCGCAGTGGGTGTAGGTGGACAGGGTGTATGTTGGACTCTGTATCTTCTGAAAAAAGGCCACTGATGGTCCCATGCTGGGGGGTGTCGTCTAGCTCATCCAGATCCCATGTGTCGCCCTAAGTATGACATCCCTCTGCCTTCAAAAGTACGCGCGCGCGCGCGCACACACACACACACACACACACACACCCCTCAAGTTCAATTTCTGCTCAGTAAACAAATGTGGCTTTTCTGGGGCTTTTTCTTGGTACTATTTCATGAGTATGAGAAATGATTTTGTGTCTTTTCTTAGAACAAATGCACAATCAAGGATATTGGCTCTAACAAGCACACACATATAGCTTTTCTTGTGATGATACAATTGTGTTCTATAAAAAAATCCACACTTATTAAAAATGCACAGCTAAGGGGAGGATTAACACAAGCGCACATAAGCATCTCTCCTGTCCTATTTTGGGAAGATAGTAGCCTGCACATCTCCTCTGTCCAGAAAATCCAGCTACTGTGGTTGTTAAAGGTGTTGCAAGCATGTTACATTTGTAACATTTTAACCCAAGCTTGCCTTGCAAGCATGTCACATTCTCCACTCATCTCAAGAGATCACTTTACAGAACAAATGATATGACTTTTAACAAATTTGAGATACTATAAATCCAAAAGAGAGAGATACATTGTTTATACAAATGAAACATTCTAAAAGATCAAGTGGTTAAATCCAGGGGGACTTCTAAGACTCACAGTTTAGTTTTTATAACTATTTTTTGGGTGGGTTTTTGTTTGTTTGTTTGTTTTTGGAGACAGGGTTTCGCTATATAGTTCAGGCCACCTCTGAACTCACTATGTAGCCCAGGCTGGCCTCAAGCTTGCTACAATCCTCCTGCCTCAGCCTCCAAGCACTGGGATTACTGGCGTGCGCCACCACGCCCAGCTTTACAACTATTTTGAATAACAGAATTTGCAGCTTTATCCTATAGTTACGCAAAACAAATGCAACCAAACCCCGTATCATGTCTACATTATCTTTGTCTCCAGGGTCACTGACCTCAAAGGAGCTGGCTTCTGAATTCTTCCCTGGTGCACTCTCTAGTGGATGCTGTACTTCTGGGTTCCTAGGACCCCAAAGTCTTCACCTGTATCAAGGAATGCTCTTAACTCCTTCCTGTCCCTCCCAGCACTGGTGGGAAGCTGCTCCTTGGCCTGTCTGTGCTGCCATCTGGGGCCGGGTAGGGCTATCAAGGTCACTGCATCTCTACCCACTGAGTGCAGGTGGGAAGCTGACACAGGCTAAAGCTGACCCTCCCCGGGACACAATGGGTGGCCACCCCCCCCCAGCAACATACGACTCTGCAGTTCTCAGACACTGATTCACCTTCACATTAAGACACCGATCCTGGTGGTAAAGCCTCAATCCCTTTGGTTTCCTCCAGGTGAAAGCTTATAGAACTGTTTGCAGCCACCTGTGTCTAATGGGTAGACACAGCGGTAACATCTGGCATCGGTGGGGAAGGGTGCTGTTCCAATCCGTTTTCCAGCTATCTTTCTTCCTTGCATCGTAACTATTTTAAATCTGTCCCTTTATCATTTATTCACTGTGAGTCTTCTTTCCACTGTAGCACGCTGAACTAAGTGGTGGTCAGGAAGCGGTTCCTGAGTAAACTTCCACCCCCGGGTGTCTGTTGTACTTCAAACACCAAGGACACCTGCTATCACTGGGCTTGGTGTGCCCTGAACTGGGCATAGTCCAGGAGTGCGTGCAGCTGGAACACACCATGGATCTACCTGCTTTAGGGCCAGAGATTTCCTCTGGTCATTTGTGCCTTCCCACCTCATTTGGGTATTTGGCAGGGCAGAGCATTTGCAATAGTTTCTTAGTCCATATGGTGCTTAAATTCTGCCCCCGGAAGAGCCTTTTTTCAATGTTTTCTGGCTACAATGTTACTGATGTTACAGAGGATGAATGGAAGGAGAATCCCCAAAGAGTTCAAACACAAGCTACCAAACTTCATGCCTCCTTCCTCCCCTGATTTCTGCCTCCTGACTGTACATTTTAAAACAGGTCAACAATGTGTAAAGAATGTACACACCCTTTTAACAGAAATATCTGCACTCCCGGGGGCATCAGAGCCTCCACACTCTAGGACGCACTGGCTGTACCCAGTCCCGTGCACACGTGCACGCACATGTGTGTGTGCGCAAGCGCGAGTGTGCACAGCTGCAGTACCACATGTGTCTTGATTGCACGCGGAGCAGCATTCTTTTCTTCAGTCCACAGGAAAGCCCTGACCTTCTGTCTCTAGGGTCCTGAGGATGAAATCCGTGCCAGCTGCCAGCTGCCAGTGAGGTTGTGGGGTTCCCTGACAAACCCAAGAGGGATGCAGAATGCCAGCCTCAGAGAGGGGCCCTCCAGGGACACCAAGGAACAAGACAGAAAGAGCGGCAGACACTGTCAGACTACAAAGTGATCTGCGTCTGCGCATGCCCAGTGGCAACTGCAGACGCCATGGCCTCACGGAGAGCAGACTGGACTTCCACTTCTCTCTTCCCACCCCCAGTCTCCATCTCCAGGATAAACACTGTGCAGGACAATGACCACAGGTCCCTAATGCCCCCACTGTCCGGTCCCTCCTTCTCCTGGGATGCACAGTGCCCAGGAAGCTGCCCACCTGCTCAGGGGCTCTGCTAGCACTATGCACAAAGAGGCCCTGACATCTGCAGATACACTAAGAGGAGGATCTTTTTTGAAATGGCATTAATGTTTAAACACGATGCTATCTTTTGCAAAACAAATCAGAGCATTTAGCAGGGTAATTTTGACTCGTAGTATCACTTTGTAAAATGTGCTGATCTGCAATATGTCTGCATTGTCGTGACTGTGACAAAGCCCATCTGGCCCTCTGTAGACGTTTTCTTCTATAAGAAGGTGAGTTCCACCAAAACAATATGGAATTTCATTGTAAGTGATAAAATTTAATTGCACTGCTGTTTTCAAAACCATGACAAGTGTGGGATTTAAATGAGCCTAAAACGATGGTTTTGCTCCTTTACTCTCCCTTGCCTTCCTCTTTCCCTCCCTCCCTGTTGCAGAAAAAGACAAAACCAATGACTACGCAACCTCTCCCAGGCCAGTGTAAGATGAGAGGTGTGAAAAGGGTTGGTCTGAGTGGGAAAATAAAAACAGGTGCCTTGTGTGACAGGATTGAGTCAGGCAGAGCAATTAGGTGTGCCATGCGCTCTTGCACCCTTTAGCTGCTGTTCTTTGAGGGTTAATCACTCAAATCTGAATTTTTACTTCTTGTCTGGACTGAGTTACTGAAACCCTGCCTCTGGCTCAGGGACCCTCACAGCTGCTTCGCCATCTCAGAAGCACAGATACAAGGCCAGGTTGCCCGTCACAGGATGAGCAGGCAGAGCTGGAGGAGAATCCCACCCTCTGAGCCCAGGCTGTCCTTGCTCCCACCTCCCAGTCCCAGGATCTTTCTCAGGCATCTTCTAAGCATCCTCATTGCTATGGAGGATGGAGGATACTCTGTAGGCCCACAATTGCTCGTGCTCTTAAGGATGCCCCTCTTCCTTTATCTTATAAAACACACACACACTGGTTGCAGGAGACCCTGCTTCAATCCAGAGCCTAGAGGCCTGCGCGGAGCTTTCCAGGGGAATGTGGAGTCTCCGAAAAGACCAGATTCTGGTGGAGGGCTTGAGTGTGGATGGATTCACCCAAGGGGAGACCTGGCCGATCTCTGTGGTCTGCAGGATTCAAGGCATCCTCTGTGATTCCCCACCACATGGACCCACTCTCTGTATGAGGTGGTTCTGGGGAGGATTTGGTCACTGTGATTAGGGCAATGACTGAGATTGTCTGACCTTATCTCAAGAGCCTGTTACATCTGGATGTAGAGGTCAGATTGAAAGAGCCAGAGATTCAAAGCTCTCCCAGGAGGTGGAGAGGACCGGGGACATCTAAGGTAGGCGACACGGGTGGGCTGTGGTTGTGAGTCCCATACATGGAGGACCTGAACTCTACCACCCAGATGACCCTTTGGGATGGGACCAGCCCAGCTGGCAGCATGACCTCAGCCTCCTAAGACCTTGAGCAGGACACTGGCCTGGCCAGGTGACTTTTGATCCCACACTGAGAGACAGAGCCCCTTGTCTTAGTAGCCACTACTTTGCACGAATGTGCTTCACAACAGAAAACAAATAAACTTTTAACCCAGACTCTAGCCTTCCGCACAACCTCTGCCTCTTCCTCAATGGTCTGGGTTTGTATCACACAGTTCCCATTTTACCTGAGGATCACAGGAAGCCAAGCTCCACCCAGCCATGGGCAGAGGCGATGGCAGCATTTGGAGGCAATGGGGAACAAAACCAGCTGCCCTTGCCCGAGGAGGCTTTGGCCCTTAAATCAGTACCTCAAGTGAGCTGTTTCTAACTGTGCATCCAGTCTTTCAAAACTAAGCCTTCAGCTAACAAAGGAACCTCAGCCATCACTGGTCCAGTTACTTAAAAAAAGAAAGACCCAGATGGCATCAGCAAGACAGCAGGATCAGAGGCCCTTGCTTGTAACCCAACAAGAGCAATAGTTCTGCAGCCACCAGCATGCAGAGGTACCCTGGTGCCCTGGGGTCAGGTAGGAGAGGATGAAAGCCCATGAGCCCAATACCCAGGGGTAGCGCTCCTGCCCTGCCCACCAAGAGAGACTGGGTGGGATCCCCGCTCCAGACCAGGAAGCAGTCTCGTTCCCTAACGGGCAGCCACAGCCCTGACTGGCCTCCCGCCTGCTGCTGATCCTCCACCAGGGCTGACAGGCCCAGGCTTTACCCCGGCCATTAACCCCAGCCTGACTGCAGTCCCTGCTCCCTGATCCTCGACTTCTCCCCTACCATCGCTCTGCCAGACAGAGGGCACCTGAACATCAGGCCAAACCTCAAAGCTGCCAAGGGACCATGGGGCACTGGCGAACGTACACAGCCTCACCAGCCCCCCTTCCCACGATGGTCACACACCTGAGGCTTCCCGTGCCGGCTTTGTACCTGGAGATCCGAGCCATGGACAGAGGAATGGACAGGGTGTCCAACCAGCGCTTCTCGTACTTTGGTTCATCTGCTGTGGGTGAGGACGGCAAAGATGGCGCCTGTTCAAAATAAATGGGAGAGGGGGGTCACGGAGCTGTCAGAAGCACCGGGCACAGGCAGGAGTGGGAGTGAGGCTCCTGAAACATCTGCACCCTCAGGTTTAGAGAAAACGCAGGGTGATGCGAATGAAAACATGTGAGACGGCTCCCCCAGGACCCAGAGGCAAATGAGTGCCTGAAATCAAAAGATTTCCTCCACTGTTTAACCTGCACAAAAGGGAGAAGGGAAGAGGAGCAGAAGCGACACAGACACAGCATTTGAAGGGGGATGGTGCACCATGGGGACCTGGAAGGGAGTCCGCTATCCATCAAGCAGGCGCAGCACTATGTGGAAGTCAGGGGGACAGGATGGCGCCCTCCTCAGGGGCACTGGGGTGAAGGAAGACATCTGGGAAATTGCCCGAGCCCCTGGAACAGGGAACTCTCAGACAGGACAGCCACCTGCTCCTCAGACAGCCCCAGGAGTGGGATTCAAGGCGAGAGGACCTTCCGCAGTGCCTCCTATAGAGGAGGTCGAGCTACCTGGCTCACCAGGAACAACAGATGTAGACTCCCTGGCCCTCATGCAAGGATCCCACACACAGACATGACTCCCCAGGCCCTGGGCATGGACACCCCAAATAGTTGTAAGGCTAAGACCACAGATCTTTCCACTTAACCTTTGGGTTTTGAAATCATCAAGATCATGGCCCTCGGTATAAGACAGAGCCTCTGGAAAGGCAGCTTAGGGGGCACCTTTGTTAACCAAGGGGGTGAAAGTTCACACATAGACGTCCTTACACTGAAGTATGAAATAATGGTGCCATTTACCATAGAATGGATACACCTGAGAATATGATAAGCCTTTAGATGCTGAGCTTGTGTGGTACAAAGCCACCTAAGCTCACTCCGCCGGACATGCAGGCAGGAGGGTGTTGGGTCAGAGCAGAGATGTACAGGGCAAGACACTCAGGGGTTAGAAGGAGCCTCAGTTGAGGGCCTGGTAAGTTCAGAACCTCTGCAGGGCAGGGACAGCTTCCCTTTCCAGGAGCCACTTGCCTAGAAGGACGTGTCGGCTGAGGCCACTTCAGATCAATGTCCTACATTGTGATGAGAGGCAGGAGCTCCCCAGTATTCAAATGAACTCACCCTCAGGGTCTGCCCGGGCACCTCTACACCAGGCACCTGGCCTACAGAGCCTGATTCCGATGCAGAAATGTTGGGATCCCTCCTGCACCCATGGCTGGAACCTCTGGGTAAGAATGGAAGGTGGCTCATGCAATGGAGGGACATACGTAATCTGTGAGCTGGGACAGGCTCTGGGGATTTGGGAGATGTCTCATTCCCGGGGAGCTGGGCTGGCCCCCACGGTCTCTGAGCAGAGCTGTGGACATGGTCTGTGAGGCTCCTTGATGTAGACCCCAACAGAGCGCTTATTTCACTGGAGAGTCACACTGGGGCAAAGACACTGACCTTGGAGACCATCGTGCAGACAGAGCAGGGCCAGGCGGGCTCCCCCATGACAGCCTTCGTGAATGGGCTTCAGGGACACCAAGCTCACACCCTCACGGGGCCCACGTTGTGGAAGCAGACAGAAGCATCTGCACCCGCCTCCCCTCCACATTCCCAAGTGAGATAGAGCCCTGTGTGACGGACAAGATGGCCAGAACCAGGTGTAAGCCCAAAAGGCACAGGCACCGAGTGTCCTGCCAAGTGCTAACTGTGACAGCAAAATTGAATTTGCCACCTCGACTTCTATCAGAAAGCGTCACACACCCCAGAAGACCCCACAGGACCCCTGCCCTATATTTTCAAATGGCTCCTGAGCTTTAATAAGTATCATTTAGAAAGTAGAAAATGGCTTTTATTGTTGAAAACAAGGATGTGCTGAAAAGAATGATAACTGTTAGAAATGTGCTTCTTAAAAGAAAACAAGTCATACAGCATCCATGGACTAAAATCTTTTAGAATCTTTCCCACCCTAAGAGTCCAGCAAGAACTGCCATCAGGGGGCACAGGGAGGATTCCCAAGGGTAAAGTGTTGGGTTCACCTGTGGCACCCTAAACATCGCCACCCAGTCAGGAAGTCAGGCCCTGGTCCCGGAGCCTAGAGATGCTCCCTTGCTGGGATAGAAGCCTTGGTAGAGTGACTGCATTCAGGCTCTTGAGATAAGAGCTTGTCCCAGAATGTGTGGATGCTACCTAATTGTCAGTACCTCTGTTTTTATAAGAGGGGGCAGGAAAGTTGCAGAGAAAAGAGGGGGCAGTTCATGAGGATGGAGGCAGAGATGAGAGAGACGCAGCCATGGTCAGGGGACATCTGCAGCCCCCAGATTCCAGGGAGGCAGGAAAGACTCTGTCCTACTCCCTTGGAGGGAGTGACCCTGCCCTCACCTTCATCCCAAATGATGGGAGGCCATTTCTGTTGATTTAACCCCTCAGGTTTATGGTGATTTAGTACAGTAACCACAGGAAACTAATTGCCAACCATGAGCTCTGTGTTCCTCAAGCATAGGCTTTGGATCTTAGCACTGGCTGAAAGGGAGCTCTTTACAGGCAGGAGTTCCTCTGAGCAAAACCAGGCTCCCGGAGGAGTGGCACAGCGGGGCCACTGGTGTGCGCTTGTCTGTTAATGCTGAGTTATGGCGTGTTCCTGGGCATGAGAGCGCTGAGACCTGCTCATTTCAGCAGCTTCGCTCCTCCTTACCCCCGTGAGCTCAGAAGCCTGTGTCATCCACCACACACCAATGCTCCCAAGCATTCTTGGGGGTTCCACTGGCTTGGAGCGTTACTAAGATAAGCAAAGGGAAGTCACACAACACCACCCTGCTGGCACAGCACAAAGATGTGCAGTGATGTAGCTATCATTCCAGCCGCTTTGTAAGACCCTCTCTCATCCTTATGCACTTCGGTCCTCTTTGCATCCGTATTCCAGGAATTTATTCAGAAAGCCTGTCACCAAACTGGCACACATGGAGGCCGGACACTGAGGCCAGGGCTGCTCCCACCCCCTGTTCCCCTGAAGACCGCAGCAAAGACAGAGGTGTGGCTGCTTGTCCCCCCAACACTCTGTGTTGGGATTACTGATTGCATGGCTCACAGCCCAGTAGCCAAGGGGCAGTGCTGTAACATTTAACACTGATTGATTCTCTTTCCTTATGCTTTGCTGTTGGGGTCCAACCTCCAGGAAGCTTGTGTTTCAGGGCACTCGTGAGCACCACCCTGAAGTACCTGCAATTGTACCACTCACCACAAATTTCACACTAGCTTTGCCGAAATATACATTTATTTCCATAGGCTGCTGCAGCCAAGATAAGAATTCATCACAATGTACTGCAGATTGAGGCCTGATTCTACTTATCATTTTAACCCCAGTAAATGCATTTGTAGTACTGCATTCCTAATGAAGGTCTTCTCACCCTTAATGTTTCTGTGTGCTTTGCTGAGTACACTATAGCACTTGTCACCAAGGCAAACACATTAGCTAAAATATGCTCTCACTTTTCACATTAGAATAATACTCAAAGCTACCAGTTAGGATTTCACAGTGGAATTCAATATCCAATAAACAATATTTCAGTGCACCCTGGGGACTGGTGGAACCCCTTCAGCTGTGTCTGGGTGGTTCATGGAGCTATGATCTTGGGAACTATATCCAGTCCCTGCCCACTTTCCTTCTGTGATGTTTCCCTGCTCTGCTTCCTCGCCACCATGAACTAAGCAGTTTTGCTCCACCATAATGTTCCTGCCTTGGAGCCAGGCAACCATGGACTAAATCCCCTGAAACCATGAGTCAAACTAAATCTCTTCTTTATGATATGGGTGTCAGGTATTGAGACCCAGCAATGGAAAACCTGACTAGTAACAGCCACAGCCCTCTCTTCCCTCAAAGGCCTACTCCAGCTCCTTCGCCAGCATTCCCACCCAAACAGGTGGGACTTGGAGCACTCTTCTGGAACACACTGTCATGGTCAGTATGGAGTGCCACACTGGATTCTTGCTCTGTCCTCAGCAGAACCTCTCAAGGGAGACTACAGCAGAGCTGAACAGTGAGGGGTGGAGACTAATTCCTGCACCACAGCCAGACTGCACGAGTGACAGCCAGTGTGCAGGGGCACTGTGGTTTCCAAGAGCAGACTGGCTGCTCCTCAGCTGCCACCCAGTCAGTGCCAGACCTGACTCTGCAGGTTTCCAACCAACCACTGTGTCCCATGTCCAAGCTAGCACAGAACAACAGCCCATGTACCATCTGGCCTTGGTGTCTGTGTGCCTGGACACATTGGGTCAGAGCAGCAGTGGGCTCCAGGCCTGGTGCTGAGGCCCAGCATCGGAGGGCACTTCCAGATGACCTGCTCCTGAGTCCAGGAACCCAATCACAACCCTGCTCCTGAGATGCCATGCACTGTCACCCAGAATTCTAGAGCCATGGAGCAGTACCAGTACCTGCTATGATCACTGCCATGGTGGCTTTTGTTAACAGGGGATGAATCCAGCTTTGGGAGTGAGAGGTCATCCTCTTAACAGAACATGACCAAAATAAGTACTTACTGAGGATAACAATATTCAAAGACAGAGGCAGAAATATTTCCAGATGGTCTTCACATGACAAAAAAGCAGGGATAAAACAGCTGTTGGGAACAAACCAGGGACCACAATCGTTTGACCTTTAGTTAAGAGCCCTCAGAATTTTCTAAACTATGGGTCAATACTTCCACAGGACTTAAAAAACTATGGGTCTCTAAAAACCACATATTTCAGAAATTCAAAGCTGCTTAAATAACTCCACATCTGCAGAATGATTTTAGTTATCTACCAGTGCTTGCTATTTGGAAAAATGCACCTAAGGGTCTTTGAAATGATAAAAAATGAGTTTCCAGCATCCTCTTTCCTGTCGTGTGAGCCAAAATTGTCCCATGGTTAAACAAACCAGGTTTAATAAGCACTAATAAGCTATATTTTAAAAAGACTAATTATTGACAAGAGTTACAAAATCTTGGATATTTACTTCCTGCTGTATAACTCACATACAGGCTAAATGGAATTTCTAAGGATCAAGAACTCTATTGTTAAACAGCTCAGATGAAACAGTTATTTTAAGAATACACCGTACAAGCACAGATGTTTTTCCCTGGGCTCTGCCTACAGCCAGGTAGGGGGTCACTTGATGGTTTGACTGACTAGGATTAACAATAAAGCACTTTTCAAATTGGAGATAGGATGCTAAAATCTTTTTCATGCATTAGGGCTCTGTGGGTAACGATTCCTTCCACTGACAATCACCCTGGGAGCTTTATAGAAATTTTCTAAAAATCATCTCAGCATTTCCTGCCGGCAAGGTTACACTGAACTGGAAGTGGGACCTGAATTCTGCCTTGGATTAAGAATCATGCTTGTGTGCAGAGCCATAAGACATTGCCAGCTGCGAGCACCCTAGGACGGAAGGACTCGCTGGGAAGTGATAGTCATGGCACAGCATCTAACAAGTTCCCCGGGACCGTCAAGGGCTGGCCTGAGGGTCAGGGACATCCCCGGGAGTGTCACTGTGAGTGCACATGCTTACTGTGTGACTGCAGTGTCCGTTCAGATGCAGGCCGCTGTCAAACAAGGGCGAGGACGTCCTGCTGCTGTGGCTGCTGGATGGCCCTGGGGACCCTGCGGGAAAAACAAGAGGTGTTTTGTTAGCAGCTCTTGTGTGAGTCACTGTGGTTTTGCTGTGACCAACCTCAGAACTCTTAGGCACAGGGGACGCCCATGACCCAATGCTGGGCTGATGGACTATGGGCTGGGCTACCCACCGGTGTCTTCCAGCTGCTGTATAACTCACAGGGGACCAGGCTTTGCCCATCACAAAGGACACCACATGGAAGGAAAAAACCCTTGCCCAGAGCCCCACACTCGTGTCCTGCCACACCATGGTCAGGACGCCCAGCAGGGCTCTTCCACCACACATTATTCCCAGCCTCGGAGAAACACTGGGTCACTCCGCTGTGGGTGGAGATGATGCCCCGAGGGACTCACAGGGCTTCCCCAGGGCTAACAGTGAGAGGGTCCCACTGAGCACACCCTGCACCGTGCAGGTAACACAGTGCTCCCTGAGCATCATTTCCCCACAAACTCAAGAGTCTGAGACCGAGCTGCCCGGCTGTGCCAGAATCAAGTTAAAGCCCTGATGCTTCGTGCCAATTGTGACGTATCACAGGACACAGAAGGTTCCTGCCATTCCCGTAGCTCTGAGGTAAAGTTCTCTCTGTCACTGTCACCGGAGTATTCTCTGCCCAAACATGAGCCAAGCAGCTCTCCACGTCACTCAGTGTCCAGCGCCTTCATGTTCGTGCACATGCGGCATAATCACAAATAACTGGCCACAGACGGTGTGACAGGGACGAGGCCCCACAGAAACAGAAATCACTGAGAGGGTGTCACAGTGTTGACTTTACATGGCCCTGAGCAAAGGTCCCTGGAGTGCTTGGAAAGTGGCGGATGTGCTAAGAACAGTGCAGGTGTGGGACCTGTCACCAGCAGGCCATGAACTGACAGTGCCAAGGGGCTGCAGGCGGAACAGAGAGGGGCTGCACCTGACTCCACACCATGCAGTGCTGCGACAGGTGAGATCACATGGGCACCACCTGGGTTTGGGGACAAGAGGACCCAGAAGCCCCCGCTCACCTCCGCTCCTCCTCTGCACAGCACAGCCACCTGGTGGTGCCATCTCCCACCTGTGTGGTGTCTATGAGCACTGACATCTCTGTGACACTTCACCATGTCCCGACAAAATGGAAGGTATGAAAAGGGGCGGGGACCTGTAGGGGAGGACTTAACCTACTAGTCAGCCGTTCTCGCTGGGATTCAACAGATAGCTCTTCTTTCCCCCTTCATTATTATTATTAATGCATCCCGTTCTATGCCCGGCAGGACGCTCAGCCCAGCTCTCCGTGGCCTCCAGTACTGAGCATTGTTTTGAAAACAGCACCATCTCAGCTCTTTTGGCGTCGAAGTTCCTCTCTATCCGCAGCTCTTGTCAGCACCTTCTGTTTATGTCCATGATTGGTTTATTACCAATTTGAGCAGGAGATCACAACATTTTTAACAGCCTGCACTCTGCTCTTGAAAAATCCCAGGGGTGATGGACTCGAAGTTCAAGGAGACACGTGACTAAAGAAGGGAACTGTCTCAGTTACTTTTCTCTTGTTGCTGAGACAGAATACCTGAGTTAAATTTTACCAAAGTTAAAGGAGGAGAAGTTTATTTGGCTCACAGTTTGTAGAGGTTCCAGTCCGTAATCAGCTGGCTCCAAGGCAGGGTGGCGTGGCATAGGGGGACCTCAGGGGCAAAACAGTTCATCGTGTCAGAGGACAGCAAAAGCAAGCGAGCAAGGGCAAGACAAGCCTCTTCTTGTCCCCTATATTGTATCCAGGCTACCGGGACTAGGATGATGCTAAACCAATCAGTGGACTCATACAGTAATCACGCACCCTTAATCCCAGCATCGCACACTCTAGTTTTAACCACCTCTGAAAAAGCCCCCCTATGACTGCATGAGGCTTTGGGTTACATCTAGACACAAACCATAATAAGAATGGAGAACAAGAGAATAGATTTAAGTTTACAGTCACATGTAAGCTCTAGACTTCGAATCATATCTTTCTGATGAACAGGTAACTTTTAATCCATACCTCAAAAGATAAATTTGAGCAGTTACACAATCTTTCTTTGGTCTAGCACCACAAAATCCATGATTTAAAAATTTAAACTGGGTGTGGTGGCACACACCTATAATCTTAGAACTCTGGGAGGCTGAGGCAGGAGGATTGCAAATTCAAGCCCACCCTGGGCAATTTAGTGAGTTAGTAAGATCCTGTCCCATAAAAAATTAAAACAAGGGCTAGGGATGCAGCTCCCTGTAAAGGCCCTGGGTTCAAACCCCAGGAATTACTAATGGAAAAAAAAAAAAAAACAGTGTGGATAGGCACAGGGTTTCCCCTTGGGTGAAGGATATGTGCTGGAACTGGGCAGCAGCGATATTTGTGCCCCACAGAGAAACACTAAGTACCACGCAAACATCACTGTACGTGGTAGGTTGTATGCTATGCAATGTGGGAACTGTGTTTTTACAAAAAGACCAAGAATGTGAATTCATGTAAGTAATACCTGGTGACTTAGGCTGGATCTCAGCAGCTCTCCACGTTCCCTTTAATGTAATTCTGTAAATGCAGCAGCTGGACATGGTGCACATGCATCTGTCATGAGATTTCCCTCCGTCGCCAATTCTGTTTCTGGACAGACACTGGGTCAGGCAAACAGGTGACCTAGTGTGCAGAGTCCAGTCAGGCAGAAGTGATTCTGCCTTCCTGGTGTGCATTTTGTCTCAATCTTTGGTGAGACTACAGCTGCTGTGTGTGTGTGTGTGTGTGTGTGTGTGTGTGTGTGTGTGTGTATGTGTGTTTTCAGAAATGGCCAATGTAGTTCAGGCTGACCTTGAACTCACTATGTAGCTCAGGCTGGCTTCCAACTTCATGCAATCCTCCTGCCTCAGCCTCCCAGGCTATTTAAACTTTTACGGATACTAAGATTTTAACACTTTTAGACCACAAAGAACCACATAAAAGGAGAAGAGGAATTGCCTGAATTCATGGAGCAATGGGCATCATTCCCTGAACTCCGGGCATGCAGAGCTCACATGTTCTGCTCTCCAGCCATGCTGGCCAACCTCATCCTACAGGTCTGGCTGCCTCGGGACACTGCAGCACTGCTGCCAGCTGAGCTGTCAGGGAGAGACAGCCAGGGTGAGTTCAGCTCCACACAGAGGACACCACAAGGACTTCCATGGTCACTCGCTCCTGGGCAACAGTGGCACCCTGGTACCCTCACTGCCCTGGACTCAGGCCATTGCACACCTGCCTGAGGACTGGAGGACCTGGCTGACTCAGAGGGGGTGAGCCTCTGTGACAGGGTGGCCCCAGGTGGGGACACTGTTGTGATCTTAATCCTGGGCTCTGGGTTCCAGGGCCAATGGCCCTGGAGACCTCACCATCTTCCTCCGCCCCAGGGAGTCCCTGACCACAAGGGAAGGTAGAGCAGCCTGTGAGAGTGCCCCCAGTCTGCTGTCCCCACTTCTGCCCCACACAAAGACACCTGGGGCATACATGGGCATGGTCAACTGGGGCTCGGGGCATAAGTGGGGCTTCAGGAGACACCAGACACGTATGTGAGTTGGAATCTGCTCTACATGCCCTGCCACAGGGCTACACTCAGGAAGGGGCCTGGGAGCCTCGCCACACCCTCCTGTGAATGCAGCCTCCAAGCCAGGCAGTGGCAGGATGTGACCAGCACCCCACAGGAGAAGTTTCCACTGTCCTGGCCCATTTGGCCATGTCCCAGGGGCATCCCACTCCTGCCGTGCTCAGCACTATTCCAGGTCCCTATGCTGAAGGTGTGGTTCCAAAAAGCCACCTCTGAACCACAAGCTGAAATGAACCTATCCTCCTTGAATGAGCTTCTCTGGGGTTTCCACCAGGAAGTGGACACAGTCGAGCTCACAGCCTGTTCCTCTCTGGCATTCTTCCAGAGACAGAAAAGTAACGGACACTGCTCCTTCACCACCAACCTGTCCCCAGGGCCACAGATGATGGCTTCGGCTTCTCCCCACATCCCCCTTGGCCTCGAATCCTTGTCCTGCCTGGCTGCAGGACCCCCACCTCCAGGCAGCTCCTATGTGGGCTGAGCTCGGCCATGGACTCTGCTGGTCTCAGGGCCCGCAGACAGCGAGAGCCTGAAGTTATCCTCAGTGATTGTTTGTTCTCACCTAATCTGCTCTCCTTTCTTTCAGGCTATTACAGTTTCTGTCAGTCTGTCTCTGTCTCTCTGTCTCTGTCAGTCTGTCTCTGTCTCTGTCTCTGTCTCTGTCTGTCTCTCTCAAATCTCCAAAACACCTTGGTTTCCTCCTCTGGCCTGCATGATTGACTGCACCCACAGAATACGGAAGCCCACATTGCCTGCTGTGTCCTGCTCAGCCCATCGGACACACAAGAAACCACGTCCCAATCATGTTAGTCTCACAAGGTGCAGCTCCCTGGTGGCCTCTGAGCACATCGCAACAGCTCTGTGCCATCTCCTCACTGCTCCCAGATTCTCAGCATCTACAAACTCCAGAATGCTTCGGTCTCTGTGCCCTGCAGTCTGCACCATCTCTGACACTTCCTACCCTGCCCTTTGCTGTGTAGTCTTTCTTTGCACACCTTGCCCACAGGGAACTTGTCCTGCTCTTTGTATCCCCTTGCTCTGACGCTGAGGCCTGGTTCTCACAAGCGGCCGTGATCTCAGCCCTGTGTGTGCACAGCCGTGAGAAGGACAGCACTCAGCCCTCGTGGTCTCCTGAAGGTGCCTCACTCAACACAAACAGGACGGTGGTGAGGGAGGATTGGAGTCTCATGACCACTGCATACAGCATGGAGCTGGGAGCACAGTCAGAGCCTGCAGTCAAGCCCCTGAGAGCAACGGCAGGCGAGGAAAGAGGAGGTAACAAGAGCGGATGCTGAGACGAGAGAGGAGGAGCAGTGCTCTGATGGAAGAGGGGGTAGTGAGCAGGAAGGACAGGGTCGCTGACCACCCACCACGTGCTGCATCTTCAGGACCCAGGGCCCAGGACAGCGCCCACAGGGGACAGGGCCACATTGCTGCCCCCGTGGAAGGGCACTGACTGGGCCACATTCTCAAAAGCAGGAAAGCACGGGGCTGAGTGAGGCCCCAGGGCTGTGTCCACCAACCAGTCCCCAGACTGGGACTTTGCCTGTCACGCCGGGCCCCACCCAGGACGCTGGGGATGACAGCTCCGCACTGGTTACAGCAATGCCCCTCAGCTTGACTTCACTGTCACTTTCATCACTGGCACTGAATATCTTGGGCCAGCCTGGGCATTTTGAGTGTAACCCCACCTGCATGCACGAGTGTGCATGTGCATGCATGTGTCTGAGTAAGCACCATCACAGCCAGGCACTGGGACAGAAGAGATGCTGAGCTGCTGGATCGCACTAGCAGCCTCTAAAAGCATCTCAGGAAGTGGTGTCTGCCCACTCACACCTGGCACCCTCCGATCACTCCCCTCTGCTTACCTAGCGGGAGCTTCAGAAACGAGGGTGCCTCCCTGAGGTACTCCACAGTGATGGTGACTTCGTCCCCAGCGTTTCTCAGGAGATGCACCTGCCCTCGGGATAAACAGCACTTTATCATCACAGAGGACCAGGTGCATGAGAAAAACAAATCCCTCCAGGCCTCGCCTGCTTCCCAGGAGCAGATCAGAGTTACCCCAGAACCCTGAAAGCCCCGCGGACCAGGCTGGGCTGAGAGACAGTGGCCACACCCCTCCAAAGCACACAGTCTCTGTCGCTGCAGAGCCTGACAGGATGCTGGGCAGAGGCGTGGGGGAAACCTGGAACCGCATCACCCTGTGTGATTGTCAAACGCAGGTCCTCCCGGGTGACAGCCCCGTAAGCGCAGTGTATGCTCACATGCCGGTGTGAGCCAGGGTGTTGCACAGGTGTGAACCCCCATGTGAGCAAGAGTGGGTGGGATCGGAAGGCCCGGAGAGAACACTGGCCACTTCTCCATTTGGCATTGGGGTGACTCCCCGGGGATGTGGGTGAGTTAAATGCTCCTGCACTTCAGCACCCTGGAGTGCGAAGTGGGGTGGCCAATGTGCCTTCCACAGGTGCGCGGTCAGTCAGGGCAGCCCTGTCTGCAAAGGGCCACACAGCAGGCACTCCCCACAGGTCTCTGCAGCTCAACTTTCCAGCCCTTCTGTGTGCTTCCTTCTCTAGCACTAAGATTGTGAGGATACTCAAGTGAGGGTCGATGCATGGTGAAAAATATGGAGGATAAAAGAATATCTAAAGAGAAGGGAAACTGTAACATGCAAGACACTCACCACCTCTTCATGGGTTGCATGTTCTACATGAATGCCATTGACCTGAACAGATAACAAAGCAAGAAAGTTGAGGACAGTAATTGATGAAAATAAGTTTAAAATAAAATGCAGCCTAGTGGAAACTGGAAGTCTAAAGTACTGACCTGTAGAACGGCATCTCCTATGAACAACATCCCTGAGCGGTCAGCTGCGGGGTTGGAAAAGCAGCAGAAGTTAAGTGGCACCACACTCCATCACGGCAGACACTTCTGTGTTGTCACAATTGGAACTACGAGTGTGTGCTTGTGAGTGTGTGTTTGCAGGTCTGTGCACGTCTGTGTGCACGTACATGTGAACACTGGGGTGCGCTGGGGTATAGAGGTGTACACGCATGTGTGTGTTCATGGCCATGGGTGCCAGCGTGGGGATGGGTGTGAGCTTGTGGGTGTTGGTGTGAGTGTGCACAGCTTTGCACATGCACGTGTGTGTGTGCATGCGGGTGCTTTTGAGTACACATGAATGTGTGTGCATGTGTTCATGCATACATGTGTAGAGTCTGTGTGGATGTGTTGCTGTACTGCACACCAGTGTGTGTGTGAGAAATACAACAAAGCAGTAGTGGCTGTGGGGAGCTGGCCAGCCCGCGCGGGGGGAAGCACGTGAAGAAAGTCACTTTCCAGACACCCATGCACTAAGGAACACAGGTGTCACTTCCTCCCGATGAAGGGCTTCATCACCATACATGGAAAGTCTGGTTCACGTTTTTCACTAGACACAGACAGTAAAAAAGGATCCCCAAAACCTTAGCATTCCCTCCTCATTCTTTTTAACAAATGTGCAGATTGCTTTAATTCGGGACTGTAGCCAGGCGTGGTGGCGCACACCTGTAATCCCAGCATTTGGGAGGCTGAGGCAGGAGGATCGTCACAAGTTCGAGACCAGCCTGAGCTACAAAGTGAGCTCAAGGCCAGCCTAAACTGCATAGCAAGGCCCTGTCTCAAAAAGAAAAAAAAAAAGAAATTCGGGAGCGCGTCCCCAGAATAGTAAAGGCAAAGAGAAACCTTGCTTTGTAAGGTAAATATTATCTTCATAGACAATTCCACCTTACATCTCCACCATTATGGTGACAGCGAACTCCTTTCAGTAAGACTGAGCAAATCGCCCTCATTTTTCCTTTACCTGGGTTTGTTTTAATTTTATAGGTCTTTGGTTAAACATTGGGAAACAAATAATACTCTTCCTTTAACACTGGCGTGCTCTTTAGAAAGCATGAAGTTTTTAAAGATTTAATGTCAGCCGTCAAGCTCATCTCTAGTCACTGACAGTATTGAGATATATTGAAGACAAAAGGCAGCTCCACGTCTGCATGTGAAGGTGCTGACGCTAAGTAGCCTGAGGAAGGTTCTCATTTACCCTTCGACATCCCAGGGCAAGAGCCCCTGCCCCTTCAGCGGCCGTTCTGGTCTCCCGTGGATTCTACTACACATGCGCAAAGATGTCCCATCTGTCCCTGCTGCCCTCCCCATCGCTGGCCGTCCCCATTTCTGCTGCCTTCTGGCTCTGGTCTCCACTGCTCACCTCCCTTCTCTGTGTCACTGCCGTGTCCCCACTCTCAATGTCCCTCAGAAGAAATCACACTCAGAATGGGAAAAGCATGACCGGATATGGAAATGTTTCCAGAGAGACACAGCTACTTCTTCTTTCTAGAACTCATGGAGGGAGAAGGGAAGCTTTGCCCGAGATAGTAGGAGGGACCGTGAGGAGGTGAGCACCCTGCACTCAGGCCTGCTGCCTCTCAGGACGAGACATGTGCTCTGCAGAACCTGAGGGCAGTTCAGATGACAGCAGAGCCAGGTTGGGCTCTGCCTGTGCACCGTGTCCCTGTGATGGTTAGTGTCTAGATGTCCCCCAAAGCCTCATGCAGTCATGGCGCGGGCTTCTAGAGTTTATGATTGATTCCTGGTCCAATGTTGGGATTTGGTGTGTGAGCTACACCCGCCTTGGGGCAGCTAGTTCGCCTACAGTTTAAGGGAGGGAAAGAGGCTGCTTGCTGTCCCTCCCCCTTTTTTGCTCTTGTTGCTTTTGCTGTTTTCTGCAGCCATGAACTGTTGCCCTGTGCCATGTGCCACCATGCCTTGGAGCCAGCCATGTCTGGACTGAAACCTCCAGAAACTTTGAGCTAAATAAACCATTCCTTCCTTAATTTGGGGCATCAGGTATTTTCATCTCAGCAGTGAGAGAAAAGTAACTGAAACAGACCCCCTCACTGGCTGCACGGACTAAGGAGCAGCTGTGTGGCTAAAGCTTCTCTCAAGCCAAGAGAGTCTTGCACGCTGGAGCCAGTGCATTCCCTGCTTTGCACTGAGCTCTGCAAAGGGAAAAACAGAGCCTCTGCTGGGCCCTGAGGCCACACAGGGTCTGGGAGCCCCATGAGGACCTGGCCATGAGGAGGTCAGGCCCTCAGAGCTGCTGTGCGATCTCAGACACCATCTCACGAATTCCCCAGGAATGCAAATACAGTTCCATCTCTGCCCTGTCACAGCAGTGGGGATGGCCATGCATGGTACAGACTATGGACATGATGTACATGTGTGGATGGCAGCGAGGACCGGAGAGATGTGGGGTGAGGCAAAGTGTGTGCTCACTCCCCAAAGACCAAGTCTGCACCTGGAGGCAGCCGCACCAGTCACCAGGCGGCGGAGGCATAAGAAAGCTATTCGTGACACCACAAACTTCCACACAGCACCAGGGTCCAGTCACACCCAGGGTACGCACTGCGCAGAGTAGTGTATGTATCCACATCTACAGTCAAAACAGGATGTGATTTACTCAGTAACTTTTTAAAAAGCCTTTTAGTTTTATAAATCCCAGAACAGGACATGGAGTAGACTCTAAATATTGCAGCCCTGATTCCATTCTTCCTCACAAGTAAACAGTGTCTCTCCTATGTTGAGACTAAAGAAAAAAATGACTTGAAAAAGAGAGACTATTTGGGGGCCAGAGAGGAGGAAAAAGAGGAGGAGGAAAGGGAAAAGAGGAGGGGTACACGGGCATGACCACAAGGACACATGTGTGTGTGGAAATGCCACGGTGAATCCCGTCAGATACAGTTAGCACGCGCCGATAATTACACGCTAACTAGTACATGCTAATTACACAGCGGATGAGACACGCTGTGATAGTACCATAATTATAATAGAAACCTCCATTACATAAAGATCATGCAGTTGGCAGAAATTTTCCATTTTTTCACTATAAAATACATATTCTATGCAAGAAATCTGCCTCCTTCGGGGTATGGCAATCTGGTTTTCCCAGCGCTGCCTGACAAAGACACTTGTCCTTTTCTTACTTCCACCTGCTAACCCACTCAGAAACTAGTTGAATACATGAGTTTGGGTTTACTTCTAGTTTTCCTCTTCTATTTCACTAGTTTGTGTGTCTCTGCTATTTCACTGGTCTACTTTATGCCAGTACAAAACGATTTGGATGACTGTAGCTTTATAACATAGATTTATCTTCCCCTCGCCTCCACCCTCTTTCTCTAGATTCCCCTTCCCTTTTGCAAAAGGTCTGTCTCCCTGTTTCCTATTATCCTTTACTTAGATATTTGATATATTTATACTTTGAGTTTCTCATATATAAATGAAACCATGTGATATTTAAGCTGTGTGTCTGATTTATTTCACTTAACAATGTGGTCTCCAGGTGCATTCATTTTTCTACAAAAGACTCAAGTTCATCCTTCTTTCTGGCAGGGTAGTACTCTCCTGTGTGTAATAGCACATTTGCTTTATTCATTTATTTGTCAGTGAGCATAGTGGAAAGAGTTAAAGACATCGTATTACAGTGATACATGCACACCTGTCTTGACAGCAGGTAGGTCGACAAGAGGTGACCGCCCAGATCCTGCTACTAGGATGTCCCACCCCGACAAAGCTTGCCATGCCTATCTGTTCAGAGGCGGGCAGTGTCTTCAGTCTCAGGAAGGAAAGGGTTAGGACCCCAAGTCAAGGGAGAGCTCCAGTGATTGCAACTGCTGAGGGCAAGTTTATTCCCCGCACATTCCAGAGGTGAACCCGGATCGGGTTCTAGGTTGAAAGGCAGAAGGGAAAAGACATGTAAGCATTTGTTCCTAGAGACAGAAAAGAGGAACAGGACGGGTCCTGCAGGAACAAGGAGCAAGGACAGCTGAGGACAGGTTCTGAGGGTGCACAGCCAGTGGGAAGGCGAGCTGAAGACTGCCCAGTAGCGTGGCGTGAAGGCAGCCAGCAAGGCCAGGCAGACAAGATTCTGGTTCAGGGTCTGCAGCACCCTCTGATGGCCGAGGCAGGCAGGGCAGCAGGTGCTACGGTCACATTAAACCTGACCAACTACGTCACTGCCCAGGCCTGAGTGTTTTGTGTCACCTGCACTTGCCCCGCATGCTGACCACTCTGGCCCTGCTGCCTTCCTTGGCCTCGGCTTCCCAGGCGTGCATGGCACCCTGGCCCACCCTGGCCCACCCTGGTCCCTCTCACCCAGCCTTGTGCCCTCGTGTACTCTCCATACGTGTGTCCTCCTTGCTTGTACGTCATTCTGTGGAGTGTGGGAAAACACTGTGTGGGAAAACAAATTTTCTTTCTGAACTGAGCAGAAAATCTCTCACTGGCTGTTACCTGTTGGTTAATCTTACTCCCTTGTTCTCTGGTTTTGTTTGTTTGTTTGGTTTTTGTTTTTTTGAGACTTAAATTCATATCCACAAATAAAAAATAATACAGTAATGAAAAAGAAATGAGAATGTTCCCAGAGATGACTCTCAGAGCCAGACATGTGTGGAACAGTCTCTCCTTAATTATTAACCAGCTAAGCAAATGCCTTAAAGAGCCACAGATGAAATTAAACAGGGCTAACACAAGAACAAAGTGATTTTTTTCTTTGTAAAATTTCCCTTCAAGAGCACAAAAGCCCAGAGCTTTTGCCAAGCTTATTGTTTACACAATTAGATGTGCAACAGGAAAATTTTAGTCCAGTGTAGCCATAATATTTTTGAAAGGCTTTAAAAACCTCAAAAAGGGTGATCATTTGGTTTAGGAACCTGAAAACCCCGTTTACTTTCCTGCTATCTATGGTTCTAGCTGAAACTCTATTTTCTTATAAGGTAAATTTTCTGGTAGTCCCAAGAGAAAAAAAGCTAAGGTATGCCCCACACTCCTGTCTTTGCTGGCCTGTGGACAGCGTGGGTCTCCCTAGGAAGACACCCTCCTGCTCCTGGGGCCAGCAGCTCTATTAGGGGTTCCCTGGCCGTCAGTACCTGATTAAATACAATTCTGTCTGATGCAAGCAGGTTTTGTAACTTTGCTCCAAAAGGAGGAAAGTGTATTGTTGCAGTCACTCATATATGTGCTTTTTGTGAAAATGGATCTTCACGAAGATGTAAATTTCACTGTAAAACCTCCCCTTTGGAAACCACTCCTTTCCCCACAAACGCATTCAAGCTGCTGTGGGGTTCAAGTCCCACCTGGAAATTTACCTTCCACTTGGACATCTCTACAATAGAGTGCTGCTCCAACTCGTGTAACTTCTGCCCAGTCAGGGCTGGCTCCAGGGAGACATATTTCCAGCAGCAGTCCTTTCCCATCCTTGGGACACAATACTCAACACCCACAGTTTAAAGAAGCAGAGGTGTAATTTGCCTTGTGGTTTCAGGGCATTCAGTCCATGGTCAGCTGCTCCAAGGCAGGAACATCATGGCAGAAGGTATGGGGGAGCAAAGCTGCTCGGTTCCTGGTGGCAGGAAGTAGAGCATGGGAACAGCTCCAGAGAAGGGGCAGGGAGCAGATGTGGTACCAGAGGGTCACCCCTGCATGACCACACAGACACACCAGGGAGCGTGCTTTGCTAATCCCAGATTGACTCCTAAGCCAATCAAGCTGCTACAGTTAAACTGAACCACCACACGTCCTGACTCCCTCTGTCAGCAACTCCCCTACACCCCAGCAGGCTGGGCAATCAAGATGTCTCTGCCAGGGACTCCTGTGTCCAGCTATAGCTTAATGGGGTGACAGGGCATTTTCTCTTCATGTTAGGCTTCAGGTTTGGGTAAAATCAGGTGGAATGAGTAAGAAAGTTCTGAGAAAATGTGTGAGTATTGTCTCTTCACCCCAAATCTGCCTATTCTGACAGAGGTGGAGATTGTGTTGTGGGAGTGGGCTGTGGCGGGTCCCCCTCACTCTTCACTCTTCTACTCAAAATGAGGTGCATGGGCTCACTGAGCCCCCTCTCCCACCCAGGTGCCCCCGACTCTTCCTTTTGCAGGCTAACCACCACCTGCAGGTTACCAGATCGGTCACCTGGCTCCTACCAGTGCAGAGGGGCTGGGCACACAGAGCAGTAGTCAGCTGGACCAGGCACCTTCTGGTGCCCATGGGCTTTTGTATCAGAGACTTCTGTGAGCACCATCAATTCGGTTCTCCATCTCTACTCAAGTCTCTCTAATTTTTAACAGACCTTAAGAAACTCAGGGTTCAAAGCCCAAGTCATTAGTCTCCTCAGAAGGAGCCTTGGTACTCCAAGGGTGGCTTAGTATCTCTCTTGAGGGCTTGACAGATTAGCAGAAATGACAAAGGCAGCACATGTCAGGGACAGAAAGCATCCTCGGAGACAACACACAGCTATGAAAATAAAAGGCCGTTTCAATACTAAAGTGAAATGCACATTTGTTAATTAGAACACTTCCGAGAATCTATCACCTTGCAAGCAGTTGTGAAGCACACACGGGTCTCTATGGTGACTTTTACCTGCTCGGTCTTTGAATATTTTTGAAATGACAACAGGAACACAGTGCTCAGCGCCTCCCTGGAAGATAGAGAAAACCATGAACCTGACTTGCGCTGCCCACTCGTGGAAAAGGGGGCACAGGAAAGGGAAAAAATATGCCCCTACCTTTATGCTGAGGCCCAGGCCACCCACGGGCTGTCTGCGGAGTGTCACAGTTCTGTGCTTTAAAAAATTTTAGAAAATAAAAGAAGTTTAGGTTAAAATGCATGGTCAGATAGGGAAAGCAAACTGTACATGGAAACCTCTTAAGTGAAACGACTCTTAATGTGTCTTTCCAAAGCAGCCTTGGCACTATTCCTAATCTTCAGACCAGGGTACAGAACATAGGGAAACCAAGGTGGAAGAAACACATCCCTGTCTCCTGCATTACTGGGAATCCACGCAAAGTCCCACGGAGTGGGCGTCTCTTTCCCACGTGGCCTGTGAGGACGGAGCTCCCTGAAGGAAATGACTGGACTTCACTTTCCAAAATGGTAAAGACTGAAGCCACGAGCTGTACTCAGCCCTGTTTTATAAGGTTTCTCTTATCTGAGAAACCTAAAACAGAAATACGAGAGGTAAGCTCGGGAGAGGCAGCAGGAACCGCAAGGCAGACTTGGTGGAGAGGGAAGAGGTGTGGGAAGTGGAGCAGGAGGAGATGGAGGCGGGGTATGGGCTGGAAACGGCCAGCATGGGCCGCCCACCCTGGTACCAAGCTCCCCTAAGGAAGGCAACTGCAGTGTATTGCAGACATACCCAGATACAAAAAGAGAGAAAAGAAAGAAATCAAATAAAACCAGGCTCCTCCTGCTGATCCTCAAAGGGGTCCTTCTTCGCCCTACAACTCCCCGGTTTCCCCTGTGCTTAGGCCCATTTTTAAGTCACCAGTATTCACTCGAGAGAAAGCAGCTTTTTCATGCCCTCTGACCCCAGAGGGCAACAAAAGCCAACAGTACAATGCGTCCTCCTCCGGCAACAGGCAAGATCGGCAAGGCTCTTGCATCTGAAATCCTACACTGGGTCTCTGCTGAGGACTGGGGCCACCAGTAGCCACTGAGCAGATGCAGCGAAGGGCACCTTTACCTCCAAGGGAACCAACAGGGAAGCTAAGGAACTGGACCTGGCTGTGTGCTAAGTCCAAGCAGACTCTGAGAAGGGGACACAACATACACACAGTGGGAACAAGCCAAATCAGAGCACGTACACCCACCTCAAAGTGTGCACAGGCGAACGCATTTCCTGTGGCCACCACTGTCACACCCCTTGACCTGTCCCCCCATCCCACTAGGAGACACATGCAATATTTACTTGAATTAAGAATACTGTCAGGGTCACCATGGCAGGAACAGCAGTAGCACACAGGACTTCAAAACCGTTCCTCACTATGTTATTCACGACAGCCAATATGTGAAAACAATGGAATACTATTCAGCCTTCAAAAAGAAGCTGACCTCAAAGATGGGCCTAGAGGACATTATGGCAAATGAGGCAAGCCCGGCACAGAAAGACAAACACTTTGTGATCTCATGTAGACCTGACATCTGAAAGAAGACCCCATAGGAGCAAAGAGCAGAGTAGGGATGGCACTGGGTGTGGGCGAGGGGGTGGCGATGTGGTCCAGGTATAAAGCCTCCATTTGGCTGGGTAGGTTTGGGGTTCTACAGTGCTGATGGGCACAGCTAATAATGCTGCATTATATACTTGGCATTTGCTAAGACAGTAGGTCTTACACGCCTACATGCACACACATGCACACACACACACACACACACACGCACGCACAGCAGGAACTATGTAGGGGACAGACGTGTTACTTAGCTTGATCTCGGTCATCACTTCACAGTAACTTCCCGTATCATGTCATCACACTGTGTGCCTTCAATACGTGCAGTTTTGATTTGTAACTGCACCTATACCTCATAAAGCAAACAGCACACCCAGCGTGGGCAGAGTATCCCAGGACACCCCTGGTTGAGCAGGGAGACGCTCCCTACAGTGCAAGCATAGCATTTCTCCCCTAACATACAGAAACTCGACGTTCAAGTCAACAATGTCTCATAGCATGAACAGGCAAAGGAAAAAACTGACCACATTCCTTCCCTAAATAAACACAAAATCTCCTATATCAAGGGACACCAAGGGCATCAGGTAAAGAACCCACCTGCCCCTTATCCTGGGGTCACTGGTCACATGCCATGTGCTTCTAAGACAGCTTCCTGTCTTAGGAACAGACACATTCCCCTCTCCACACTGGAAAGCATCGGGTTTCATAAAACATCAACGTGATTACTCTCCTCTAAGGAAAGCTGCTCTTTTACAAGCCCTCATCCAAGGACCCAGCATTCCACTGTTTCAGAGCTGGACAGGAGGCTCAGCCAACTCACGCCTTCGCGCTTTTACAAATGAGTATCCTGTAACTGTTAAGGCTCTGAAACGATTCTAACCTGAGAGCATCTAAACGTCAGTAGATGGTGAGACGTTACACAGGAACCCGAACTTCTGCAAGTTCCAGCTAAAACCATTCACGCTGTGGCCAGCTGACGTCTGTCTCCCTCCAGCCAAGCTGGAGTCCACCCTTTTATGTCATGATTTCCGCTGTGCTTGGGAGAGTTACTGAGACAGAGATGAGTGAGATAAAAGACCTATCTGGTTCAACTCAGAAGACTCAGTCACGACTCAGTGCCAGCCCTCAGAGCCACAGGCTGTGAGCTCCAGGGCTGGGTGCAGGACTGGCAGAAGCAAGGCTGTGGCCAGGGCCCCACGGCACCCTAATGGGTGCTTCCCCTGCACATGTGGTCTGGTCACTCTATGCATTCAGGGCCTCAGCAGCCAATCAGAGGAGAACACGAGGGCTGGCCCAACACCGTGCAGGACAAACTGGAGAATCAAAGTCGGGACCCAAGCTCATTGCTCAGTGAGTTCTTTCCAAATTCAACCCAGCTCTTTGTTTCCACAAACAAATGAGAAAAAGTCCTTCCGAAAATATTCTGCATTTCAGCACTTAATCCAAAGCTGCATTCTGACACCTCAGCTACGCTTGTGTCTTTGTAGCATTGTGACTGTGACGGGACCCAGCTATCTCCACATCAGCTTCTGGTTGTCAATACTTCGAGACAGGGCTGTGGTCTGCAACATGGATGGTTCTTACCTGTGTATAACTTTGGGGCTCACAGGCTAGGCTTCATATCCTGCTCCTCTACAACACTGCTCTTCAGTGACTGTGGGGTTAGATGCACCCCACTCCTCACCTCTGACCTCAACGAGAAACTGAAATTCCTTACAGCTGCCAGGTTTAAATCCTGCACTTCTCAGGACAGATTTCAGTCAGCTCAAATAAAACCTGCCATTGTGACATTAGGCCGCCAGGCCCCTGTCCCCTAGCCAGGTCCGTTCCTGTCTCAGGGACAGCCAGAAGCATCCACACTTCTACTCCCTGGCAGTCCCGAGCCCTCACTTGCACACACTGTCCAAGTTAGGCCCCTGGCGGTGAAGGGAAAGGACAGGCGGGCCAGGATGGAGAACAGGGGGCCTTCACGATTATTTCTTTCATGACATACATGAATACTAGGAAGAGAAAATTTAAGTTAAACATTTAGAGAAAGAATTTTCTGAGATATTTTATTCCATACACACAAAATACTTTCAGAAGCACTCTTCGGGCTCTATTTCAGACAACAGTGTTTCAAGAGGTTTCAAAGCTGAGGGCAGGTATGGAGTGGGGGAGTCTGATCATCTATGCTTCCCTACAATAGGGGAGCCGTTTCCCTTAGCAAACACTCTGCGGGTTCCAGAGAAGGAATTCACTGCATTGCTTTCTACTTTCTAAAATAATTCAAACCCTTAAATATGAGGATTTGGGATTCATCATTTGAAATAAATAAGTGGCACCTCATCAGACTGGCGTGCATATTTGCTCAGTCTGGATATTGAGCCAAATCTGCAGGAGAACAACTGCAAGGTCAATAATCTGGAGTACCTCAAGGTTTATCAGAACTCCTTAAATTAAAAAATATGAAATACTCTTCTTGTACCCCTGCTTCCTGAGGAGATGGACTTTATCTGCTGGCCGAAGCCTTAGGCATTGTGATCTTTCCAGCTCTGACTACAGGCGACGTAGGCAGGCATCTCACCGGACCTGGCAGGTGCCCTGTCCTACCTGGGCGGTGTCCCACTGCAATGACCAATTATTGCAATAATTAGTTTCAATACACATTTGCAGTACATAATGACTACATTTATCATGGGGCGTTGTACGTGTGCATAACACATCTTCATTCTTCTCCCTCTCCTTTATTTGTCAGTTGCAGTACAGCATTGATAAATATTAGAGAAGATAATTTTGGCAGCTTTCCTTTCACAGTTTAACTCAAACCAGCCCGCTGCAAGTCCGTCGTCCTCCCTCCCCCGCTCCCTGTCCCTCTAACTCTGGATCCCCTTCCCACTTGAAAAAGCTCTGTTTTCTTTTTTAAATTTACTCTCTTTTTAAAAATCCTTTTTCCTTTACTTCTGTCCCCCCTCTAGCTCTTGTTCCCCTTCTATTGTCTGAGCTTTTTCATATTTAAAAAAAAAAAAAAACTCTTTATGAAGCAGTATAGTTTACAGAAAGTTACAAAAACATCCTCGATTTCTCTTTCCCCGGTGCCATCTTTGTTTGGGATTTAGGACAAGCGGAGGGACGAAGTCACACCTGTAGTTGGGGGTCAGATCTCACAGCAGGAAATGGGAAGCTTGCTGGGGAGATGCGACTGGACACCCCAGAATCATGCGGCACTGGCAGGATGTGGATGGAGATGGCAGAGAGGACAGGGCTCCCCCTGCCTCCTGGACCTTCGGGGGACCCCAGACAGTGCAGAAACCACTGTGAGGCATGCTCACGGCTGGGGTGGGAAGGGTGGAACAGACCGGGCCATGGCACAGGACAGCGTCTCCAGGGAGTCACCAAGGGCAGCACTCTATGACACGCTCCAGGGTCCTGGGGACTTTCCTGAGAAAGCAAGCTGTGCAAGCACCAACCGTGAGACTCCAGGGTGCTCTGCTCATCTCACCAAGGCAAAGGACCAGAGGATTCAGGAAAACAACAAGTCAGGGTCTGAAGGCCTCCAAACGGCCAAATTTGGACTCAGAACCGAAAGGAATGGCTTCAAAAACACCTTGAAATGAATTTTCTTTCAACTGCATTGTTTCCTGTGTGTCGGTTTTGTAGCTATGGGTTTGTTTAGAGAAAGGAGCGCTGAGAGACACCAGAAACCACGGAATCATGCAGGCAGCTGGGAGGAGAGCCAGGAAACTGGCCCAGTGGCTATGGATTTCCCACAGGACAACGGACTTGCAGTGGGCTGGTTTGAGTTAAACTCTGAAAGGGAAGCTGCCAAAATTATCTTCTCTAATATTTATCAATGCTGTACTGCAACTGACAAATAAATATCTCACCCTGCAGACAATGTCATCTGCAAATCAGAAACGCAATTTGAGTCAAGAAGGAACATGTTTCGGCAAGATAATCCATATCTGCACCCACAGACGCACAGCGGACGCCTGACCGCCTGCACTGAAGACACTTGCCCTAGTGTTTCTGGCACAACTCAATGGATGCAAAAACCTAACAATGACACTACTTCCACAAGTACCTCATTCATCACAATCTTTCTTTGCAGGGAAAGTCTTATTTCACAGTGTGCCACTGAGCACCATGTTCTTTGTAAGTAATGCTCTTGAAAGGAAATATATTAGCAAAGAAATTAAGAAAGGCAGACAGTCAATGGATCAACCTTAAAGTGCATACATATTTCACTATGACAGGATCAAAGCCCAAAGTCAGGGTTATAGGTAACTCATCTATAGGCTTCTCACCAGAAAAAATGCTTTTTTTGTCAGTACTGAGGACTGAATTCAGGACTTTCGCGCTAAGCTACAGCCCCAGCTCTTTTCTAATGTTTTAATTTTTGAAACAGGGTTTCCCTGAGTTTCCCAGGCTGGACTTGAACTTGCAATCTTCCTGCTTCAGCCTCCCAGCATGCTGGGATTACAGGTGTGCAGAACCATGCCAAGGCTTCCGGCAGACATTCTTGAAGCATGTGTACAAGCCTCAGGACCTTAGAATGTGGCTCTGTTCACCAAAGCACTTACATTGGCACCGGGATGGGCTCCACCCAAGCAGACCACGTCCTGCTGCTGAACGGTCAGTGCCTCCTTTGTCAGCCTCAGTCGGACATCGTAGGCGTTCTCAGAGCCCTCATCGTACAACAGGGCGAGGGCAGTTTTGTTCTGTGGACACAGGAACAAAGTAGTGTGAGCACAGGAGACCTGGGGATGAGGCTCCTGGGTCCACCCCCATCCAACCACACTCTAGCAGCAGGCTGTGTCCACCCTGTAAGAATCACATTCTTTGTACAGAGCTCAGAGACAGGCTTTGCTCCCAGAAACTCTGAGGTCTCCCCACAAAGTGGGTTTGGCCATGTGTCCTTAGGTGTTAACATAGTGCTGACCATGCGCTGATGCCAGACAAACCCAGGGTAGACTCTCCCTGGGCAGCCTCTCGGTCCCCTGCAGGACAGGTGAAAGCCCTCAGGACCTGACACAGGACACGGGGACCTGGAGCAGCCCTGGGGAAGTCAAGACCCAGCCAGCAGCTACAGCAGGGGACATGAGGGCCCCTCAGCAAGTAGCCTGCAGGGAGGCCACCACCTATTGAAGGAGGACCTATTGTACCTCTGCTTGGCCGAGCGTGGGTTTGGGTGACATCAGAAGGCACGCTGCAGAGCCTGTGTGACACACACACTTAAAATGTTTACGGCAATTTCTAGCAAATAAAAATGAAATTGTGTTCTCATCCACCTTTTTCACAGGGTCTGGCATCATGCGACACCTGGCTCTTCCCCAAAATCAAGATGACCATGAAAGGGAAACACTTTAAATCCATTCAGGACATTGAAGCAGCCAGGACAGCACAACTAAAAACACACCCAGAGAAGAGGTCTACCAAACACCTTCACTGGAAGAAAAATAACCTTTTTAATAAATGCTGCTGGAAGAACTGACTTTCCACCTGCCAAAGACTAAAACTGGATGCATGTCCCTCTCCAATCACTGAACTAAAATCGAAACAGATCAAAGATTTAAATATCAAAACAGAAACACTAAATCTGCTGGAAGAGAGAATAGGTACAACTCTTGAAGACGGTGGTATAGGCAAAAAACAAAACCTCAGTGGCACAGGAACTATTGCAAAGGATTAAGTAGGATCTCATTTTATTAAAAAGCTTCTGCACAGCGAAAGAAATCCCCAACAGAGTGAAGACACATCTCACAGAGTAGGAAAAAAATTTTTCCAGCTGTTTCTTAGACAAGACTGATATCTAGAATATACAAAGATCTCAAAAAAAATCAGACCCCCCCCCATTAAAAAACCCAATCCAAAAATAGGCATCTGAAATGAATAGATACTTCTCAGATGAAGAAGTAGAAACAGCAAATTATATGATATAATGTTCAACAGCACTGGTCTTTTGAGAGATGCAAATTAAAACAACACTGAGATTTCATCTCACCCCAGAAAGAATGGCTATTATCAAGAAATCAACCAATAACAAATGCTGGGGGCACTGTGGGGGAAAAAGAACCCTTCTCCACTGTTGGTGGGAGTGTAAATTGGTGCAACCATTGTGGCAATCAATGTGGTGATTCCTCAAAAAACTAAAACTAGAGGTCCTATTTGACTCAGCTGTTTCCCTTGTTGATATCTTTCTGAAAGAATTTAAAGTATCACATCATAGCAATATGCACACCCATGTTTATAATGGCACAGTTTGTAATAGTGAGATCTTGGAAACAGCCCAAATGCCCACCAACCAATGAATGGACAAAGAAGATTTGATATTTTTATATAATGGAGTATAAGAAAAGATAAACTTGAGGCATTTCTAGCTAAGTGGATGCACCTTGAGACCATACTCTTAAGTGAAATAAATCAGGGACACACGTTTAAATACCACATAGCTTCTCTGGTGTGAGAAACCAAAAATGTAAATAAGGACCAAAATGTATAATAGATATTGGGAAATGAGAAAAAAATGTTCAAAGGAGAAGGAGAACAAGAGAGGTAAGGAAAGGGACAAGGCAAAAAGAGAATAGAAGGAAAAATGGAAACAAAACTTTTGTAAATAAGGGGGTGAAGAGGGGTTGAAGGGAGGGGAGGGGAATGGGAAAAATAGAAGAAGCAAGATATACCATGTACAGGTACAAACTCCCTATGATGAATGTTATCATTATGTATATCTAAAACGTACCAATAAAAAAGAAAGAACGAAAGAACAAAGAAAGAAAGAAAGAAAGAAAGAAAGAAAGAAAGAAAGAAAGAAAGAAAAAGAAAGAAAGAGAAAGAAAGAGAAAGAAAAGAAAAAAAGGGGATCCAGAGCTACTGCAGAAAGTGGCAAAGATGATGGGATGAGTAAAGAAGGATTCTGGGGAGATTCGTGGCAGTGTGTCTTTTACTGTAATAAGTTTTAATATAAAATTCATTGCGTGTTCCATCACCCATGTATGCCTCTGCCCCTGCGTAAAGCATGTAGAAGGGCTGCCTGTCTGACACATGTGCTCCTCTGCCCAGCCACACCTGCAGCCTGTAGCCAAGGTCATTCTTGGGTGTCGATCTTGATCTATCTCACTTAGAGAAGAGGGAAGATGACCGCCTCCTGGGGACCATGTCTAGGACAGCAGCTCCCCAGCGACTCCTGGGAGTCCCAGGTGGCCTTTCCCCTAGGGTCACACTGTCCGCGACCACCAGGGTGTCAGCCCGGCACTGCACCCACTCGTCATCTCTGGTCTTCCCATCACATTTAAGCGGGGCTCAAGTCCACCTGTCCAGAGTTCTCCTGGCCTCACTTGCTCAGCACTGAGTCCTGCTCGCTCCCTCCCTGTGAGGGCAGCTCCTGACACCCACATGCACACACTGGCTCCACACTGTCCTCCATGGCGTCCTGTGTCCCCTACAGCTTCCTCTGTCCACACTGCCATCACAGTGGTGAATGCTGGCTCCTCCCTACTAACCCATCCACCCACACTTGAGACCGCTGCCTCCCCCATCTGTCCACTCATGGCATATACACTCCACCTGCCCCCGCCCTACTCTCCCTTCCCACAGACTCCTTCTCCTACAGTCTGGACTCACAGGGTCAGGACCTGGCACAGGTCCCTCTTCCATCTTCACGTCTCTGACAGCACTCACCCAGCATGGTGACTTCCAACTTCCCCCTAAGTTTACACCTCCTGGTTGGGTTCTTATTGTGGTTTGTGTCTGGATGTCCCCCTAAAACCTCATGCAGTGAGGGGAGTGGGGTATAGGGGAGTGGGCTTTACAGAGGTGGCTGAATTTAGAGTTTGTGATTGATTTGTGGTCCAATGCTGGGATTAAGGGAATGAGTCCTACATCTGCACTAGGGCAGGTAGCCTGCATACAACAGAAGGGACAGAAAGAGGCTTGTCCCTTCCTCTTTTCCCCTTGTTCCTTTTGATTTTTTCTGCCACCAAGAGCTGTTGCCCCTTTGCCATGTGCCACTCTGCCCTGGAGCCAGCCAATTATGGACTGAAACCCATACAAACTGCGAGCTACATAAACTTTTCCTCCTTTAACCTTGCATGTTGAGGTATTTTTGTCTCAGCAATGAAAAACATAAGTAAGCAGCTCTCCAAAACCCCAAGTGTGGGCCCATGCTGCCTCCTGTCACTCCCAGGCTGCACCAGCTCCTGCAACTTCTTCTTGCCCCATTCTCCACTCAGGTCAGGCCTTGCTGCTCATGGATCCTGAGGGAACTCTGCTCGATCCACATTCACACAGCCTCACAGCCCAAACCACCATCCTCCCTGCCTGGATAAATAAATACCAAGCTATGGAACCTCCCAGCTTCCACATACCCCCAAACAACAGCACTGTGAGCTTCCCCTGCACACAGTCCACACGTGTCACCTCTCTTTCTAGAGCCTTACAAGCCCCAAAGAGTGATAGCGAAGGTCCTGGCATAATCCGCAAGCCCCTGCCTGCCTCCCCACAGCTCCAGCCCTCTGTGCTCTGCCAGTCCCCCGATGTCCACTTAGCAGACTGCCTCAGCCCTCAATCCTCTCCTGTGTGAAGCTGACAGCTGGAGTTGTCCCCAGAGGATCCCCTCATCCCAGAGCCCTGACCCAGTGCAGAGGGACCAGGGGCCCAGACACAAGATCAGAGGATAGAACTCCTCTGAGACTCCTGCTGACTACTGCATACTTGGGGTTCCCAACACTCAGAGTCTATGATTCGCTGGAAGAACTGACTGGCAGTAGATAGCAGGTTACTCATGGGGACAGGACACGAGCTGGGATTGGCCAAAGGAAGAGGGGAGACTAGAACAGGGCAATACCCAGAGAGACACTGCCAAGAGGGGACGCCATCGTATGCAGAACCAATCAGAAGAGCTATTCTCAATCCTTCATTTGAATCCGGTGCTATTCACAGGACCACTCAGAAAATGCTCTTTTCAATCCCTTATTTGTATGTGGGCGCAGCCAATCAAAAGACACTGTTCCTGAACATTTACATACAGCAAGAAGTCCAACAAGCTTCTATAAGACAGTGTGTACAAGGCTGTCTTGGTTACTTTTCTCTCCTTACTGAGATTAAATACCCGACACTCAGAACTAAGGAAGGAAAGGTTTGTTTAGCTTATAGTCTATGGAGCTTTCAGACCATAATTGGCTGGCTCCAAGGCAAGATGGCATGGCACAAGGGTAATACTTCAAGCTGGAAGAAGACAGCAGAAACAACAAGAGCAAAACAAGCAGGGAGCAAGCCACACCATCTCCATGCCTTCCTCTGGCACAGGCTCAGGATGTTTACAAAGGAAGGACCCTGGCCTCCTGCTGAGTCACTTAGTTAAGCTTTTAAACTTCTCAAGTTGACACAATGTATCAACCATAACAATGGCCAAACCAAGCAGGTGTTTAATAGGAAGGCTTTCCCAGTGTCTTATTTGCATGATGGAGAGAACGCCCAGGAATTCTGGATGCAAAAGACCCTTTTCCCCTTATCCTTGGCATCACTGTGAGCCTGCTCAGTGGGCTTCTCTTGCCCGGCAGAGTGAGCCTCTTCTCTACCTTCAATAAATGCACACCCTCACTGTGTTTTCTGGGTGTCTCATCCAGTTCTTTGTTGTGGACACCAAGAGCCTAGAAAGCAGCCCCTCAGGACTTCATCCAGTAACACAAGGGTAGCAACTTCTGTGTCTTCCGCATGAGTT